TCTTGAAACAAATTGAGATAATACATTTTTAAAAATCTACACGATACACATCCATAATATGGGGGGGGGGGGGGGTTGGGGGGGGGTTTAGATGGAATAAATATAAATGTGCCGTTAAACCCGCCACCACCCGACACAAGCGATTATTAAGGTTTGTCACGTAAACAGAACGTGCCAATTAGTTACTAGTTCAGCACACCGGTCTGTTGGAGAGTAAACCCACAGCAACGTTTACAATTCAAGTAACGATGTCTGCGAGTAATCACAACAGCCAGCCTCATCAGGCGACAGCCAGAGATGTGATGTCGTCATTGTGAGCCAATCAGGTGCGAACACCAGAGTGGGGAGGGGGGGGGGGTGTGAATGTGATGCCATTGTGAGCCAATCAAATGCGTAGACCAAAGGGGGAGTGGGTTAATATAGTCATGAGTTAAAATGGATATATATTATAAGTTTGCTCATTGATAGATATTGATAGCTAGTTAATCAATTTACATACATTGCCAATTTTTGGGCACCCAAAACATCGTATTGCGCCCGAAACAGTCGTCATTTATTTGATTTGATACCTACGTGACTTTACCGAAAGAACCAAAGAGTATATGAATATATTATATGTAAAACTAAATTTAAATACACTAAAAAGTCTACCAAGAATGTCGTTGCAGAGAAAGGCCACGGGTTGTTGCTGAGAGACGTTTTTGGCCGCCGGTAACTAAACAAAAATCCCGAGAATCCTCTCCCCCGAGCCAGCGAGTGTCCAGGAAAAATAAAGTTTTAATAAAATGACAAAATAATAAAACAAAAAAATGGGATGACAGTTTTATGTTATATATCTCGCGAAAACAGACAGAAGTTCCGGCCAGTTTTCATTTTTGTTGGGAGGGTTTTTTTTCTCTCTCTCTCTCTCGCGGGAGAGTTAAAGAATAATAATCGAGGATGATTAAGTGGCTGGATTAAATCATTAAACATGAAACGTATTGCTAAGGGAGAATTCACTAAAGTTGCTTGCGCTACCCCTTACAACGACGTGGGAATCGTGAAAGGTGCCCAATTTTTGGCGGTATTTTATTTTTTCCAATCTTAATCACTTTCAGGTGCTTAAAAACATCTGCGCGTGTTCTATTTTTACGAAAATACATTCTTATTTTTATTACTATTCCAGGCCCAATGGTCAAAAATGTAAAGCGGCCAGCAAAATAATGGCTCGATCAAAGTTCTATTACATAAGCGACAATGTGTTCCTTTGATATTGAACAAGGTTAATGTTGTTATTATAATTCGTTTATTTTTTTGGTAACAGCCTGAGTCGATGATGGTGAAGATGATTGGGGGTGGCAGGGGAATTCTTAAGCTGGCTGGGCGGTGTTGCGACCTGTGGCTTGGCGAATACATGAGGGGGTGAGTGAGTGGGTGGGTGGATTAGTGGCTGAGTCGATGAGTGAGTCAGTCGGTGAGTGCGTGAGCGAGTGGATGGGTGGGTGAGTGGGTGAGTGAGTCGGTAGGCGAGTGAGTGGTTGGGTGGGTGGCTGAGTCGATGAGTGGGTGAGTGGGTGGGTGAGTGTGTCGTTGTTGTGACCTGCAGTGTGGTGGGTGATTGATGATGGTTGAACACGGTGTGATGGATCAGGCGAAACAGAGTGTCTGGTTGACTGAGGAATCAACGAGTCAAGTTGACGGACACAGTAACCACGATAGTAGCGATAACAGAGCAATAAGGAGGCGACTACCCACCAGTGATTGAATGAGTGATCAGAGTGAATCGGTGAGTGCAGGATCAATCACCCTTGACTGCTGCTCTCCCCTGAATCCATCAGGTGGTGCAGTGAGCTCGGAACTGGGTGCTCCAGCCCAGATATCACATCCGTAGGATTCCATTTCTGGCCGAGTCTGTGCTCTGTATAGGAGCAGCAGTAACTGTTCAGAGTTAAGGCTTTACATTATACAAATATCCTTGTTTTACTCGCCATTTCAGGAGGGTCCTGCTTCGGATGTTTGGCAGATAAATGTTTAGTTGAAAGTAAGTAAACCAGGGTGGGGAATGTCAGTGCAGTGCTTAGCGCAACTCCGCTATTAACCCAGTGACCTGGCATTGATTTCCAGCCACTGCCGCCAGACAGACGACCCAACCACAATGCATGCTACAGCGGCTAGATCACAGCTATTCGATAGGCAGATCGCGTGTGGTGGTGGTGGTGGTGGGGAGCGGTGGTGGGGAGCGGTGGTGGGGAGCGGTGGTGGGGAGCGGTGGTGGGGAGCGGTGGTGGGGAGCGGTGGTGGGGAGCGGTGGTGGGGAGCGGTGGTGGGGAGCGGTGGTGGGGAGCGGTGGTGGGGAGCGGTGGTGGGGAGCGGTGGTGGGTAGTGGTTAGCGCTACGCTGTGCTACGAACCTGGTGAGCCGAGTTCGATTCCCGCTCACGGCCAACACCCAGTGACGATTATTTGAACCGGTCCCTGGACCTCCCGTCAGCCTTAAATGAGTACCTGGAGCGCTGTGTACACATCGCCGCTGGGGAGACAAAGGCGGTTGGGCGTGGTGCTGGCAAAACCCACCCCTTCTTGTGCCATGCCAGACCTTCATAGGTGCTCGCTAACAGCACTTGCCCCGACAGTCTGTGCAGGCTTTACGGGGGGATTTTTTTGTCGTCTTAGTGGTTATACATCGCGGGTACTCCTCCTACCCATTCCAAGACGTTTGTGCAACGTGGAAGAGTTGGCTACAAACGCCCTCTCAGAATGGCTTTTGCGAGACCAGAGTCGTCCCTAGGGTACGGCGAATCGGGGGCGACTGCCCCGGATCCCGCGGGCGGTCCTGCTCGGGCTCCTTCCACCAGCAGTGGCATGAGCAAAAGCGATTGCAGCACTGCGCCTTTATCCACGCCACAGTGGCTGCGTGGGCAGCACGAAAAGCCTGGAAGGCCGTTGACGACGAGCGGGTCAGGAAAAAAATACTCTCTGCCCAGAATAACCTTTCCTCCAGCAGGGGCGGAAGCTAGGCACTTGCAGGGCTGCGCCTTCGCCTACTTGGCTCCGACGGTGGCGGCAGCAGAGTTCAAGAGACGACAGAAGTCCCGATAACAATCAAGGGCGCACAGAACGTTGGCTACCCTCCGACGCACAATCGTTTGCCCTCCGCAAAATAAATCTTTAAAACGCCATAATTTTTCCCAGCGTCCGATGGAAATCTACGTCGAAGCAACGCGAGCCAGGCAGGCGCTTGTGTTTTTGTGTTTCTAATCCCGGTAATAAAAAAAAAGAGAAATGCCCCGTGAGCTGCTGCATTCAAGGGGTGCCCGCCGCCAGCGAATCGCCCCCGGGGAAATCACTCGCGGCCGCCTCTACTCCGGCGATTTATTGGACATCTGCGCAAAAGAGCTTCATAGCTCTTCAGATTCATCCAGTCTAAGTATTGCGATTTTTATTGGAAAGCGGCGTGCGGCGTGGGGGGGGGTGAGACCCAGGTCGCTTGACTCTGGAGCCAAAGCAGTGAAGGAGAGAGGAGTGCGGTGGTGATGTCACGACCATAGAAACCCCTTCCATTGGTGGGGCCACGATTAGGGTCTTCCATTGGTGAGGCCACGGTTAGGGTCTTCCATTGGTGGGGCCACGGTTAGGGCCTTCCATGGGTGGGGCCACGGTTAGGGCCTTCCATTGGTGGGGCCACGTTTAGGGCCTTCCATTGGTGGGGCCACGGTTAGGGCCTTCCATCGGTGGGGCCACGGTTAGGGCCTTCCATTGGTGGGGCCACGGTTAGGGCCTTCCATTAGGGGGTCTCGGCTAGGGCCTTCCATTGGTGGGGCCACGTTTAGGGCCTTCCATTGGTGGGGCCACGTTTAGGGTCTTCCATTGGGGAGGCCACGGTCAGGGCCTTCCATTGGGGGGGCCACGGTTAGGGCCTTCCATTGGTGGGGCCACGGTTAGGGCCTTCCATTGGTGGGGCCACGGTTAGGGACTTCCATTGGGGGGGACACAGTTAGGGTCTTCCATCGGTGGGGCCACGCTTAGGGTCTTCCATCGGTGGGGCCACGGTTAGGGCCTTCCATTGGTGGGACCACGGTTAGGGCCTTCCATTGGTGGGGCCACGGTTAGGGCCTTCCATTGGTGGGGCCACGGTTAGGGCCTTCCATTGGTGGGGCCACGGTTAGGGTCTTCCATTGGGGGGGCCACGGTTAGGGCCTTCCATTGGTGGGGGGGCACGGTTAGGGCCTTCCATTGGGGGGTCTCGGCTAGGGTCTTCCATTGGTGGGGCCACGTTTAGGGCCTTCCATTGGTGGGGCCACGGTTAGGGTCTTCCATTGGGGGAGGCCACGGTTAGGGCCTTCCATTGGTGGGGCCACGGTTAGGGTCTTCCATTGGTGGGGCCACGGTTAGGGCCTTCCATTGGTGGGGCCACGGTTAGGGCCTTCCATTGGTGGGGCCACGGTTAGGGCCTTCCATTGGGGGGGGGGGGCACGGTTAGGGCCTTCCATTGGGGGGGTCTCGGCTAGGGCCTTCCATTGGGGGGGATCACAGTTAGGGCGTTCCATTGAGGGGGTCACGGCTAGTGTCCACCATCGTGGATGTTTTGGCAGCCAATATTATGGTTCATAATATATTTTTGTTTGAGTGAAGCCACCTCATGATCTCGCCAGACATGTGCCGTAAGACCCTCCATCATCCGAGACGGCCAAACAAATGAAGTGGTCACGCGGTGAACAAGCGTTGAGCTGAAACAACAACAACAACAACCGGCGCCTCGTGAAACGCTTTAACGGCGCGGCTATTGAATGTTTGACTGGTGGCCGGGTGGTGAAGGGTCATTCGGCACAATTTTTTGCCAAATAATCACAGGACCTACCCCAAACATCTTTTATGAATAATTTGTGATGATTATAATATTATTTATCGATATTGATCTTCGTAATGACTATGGTAATATATACATGATGACGACAATAGCGATATGTATTATTATTATGATAACGACGATGACGAAAACTACATCTCTCTCTCCCACTCTAGAACATGGCGGCTGGCCTTGAGCTGCAGTGCATTCTGGGGGCGGCCATGATGCTCTGCCAGGTCGCCTTGACGACGGGCGGAGCTCCTCCACCTCGGGGTGCAGGAGGAGGCTACATGGAGGTGCCGGGCCAGTACAAGGGCCCCCTGCCCAGCAGGGACAAGCATTACGGGCGCGAGCAGTACGTGCCACTCGGTAATAGTCCCACCAGCACCACCGCCACCAACACCGCCACCACTGATTGACTATTACCCTGTTTTTTTGTTTACCATGTTAAGGCCCCACTGAGGTACTGCATGGCCCTTTTGAAGAAGCGACCTGGCTGTCACAAATTAGAGCTCAACGAAGTGGACTTATCATCACGTGGGAATGTATAGTAGCAGCCCACATACTCTAAACGCATGTTGATTCTAAGTGTGGAGGGGAAAACCCGGACTAAAATTCACGCGACCACAGGGAGAACACGCAAACTCCAAATATACAGGCGTCAGGGTAGGGATCAAACCCACAAACTCCTGTATACCAGACCAGGTAGTTAACATCTGGCCACTGTGGTGCCCTATCACCATGCACCACCACTACTACCAACACCACCACCAACAACTGCAAAGATTGACCACAAAGTGGCAAAAACGTCACCGCGTGAAGTGTCGAAGGCCTGTTGGCAAGAGGTCACGGAACAGACCCAGGTGTTGTGGGTTGACTCACTGAGATGACTGGCACATGCACCACTTGTGCCTCCTACTGTTTCAACTTGCAGTGTTTTAGCTTACCCGACACTCCACTCGTTGTGAGCATCTTTCATCTGTCCTCCATTGTTGTTGGAGGGCGACTGCCTCCAACTGCCCGGAAGCATCCTTCACAGGCCTCTTCCACCGCTGGTACTAGTCATTAGCAATTCCACTCAGCTCCACATCCCCCTGCACCGCATCAGACCATCTCTTCTCCAGCCTCTGCCATGTCCAATTAACCCACTCTATCCAGCCAAAAAAAAAACCTGTTTAGGCATTTGGTAGCTGGGCATGCAGGCTACATTCCCCAGCAAAAGCAGCCTTGCCTGCTGGAGAAGCTCATTGCTGGGAAAGTGTCCAGATCTTTGAAGGATTTGGATCGTAGGCAGGCATGCCTGAATGTTTCTAACTGGCGCAGATGTTCCGTTGACAGTAGCCGAGAAGATCCAAAACTTCTCGTAGAGTGACATACACGGAAGCTCCTCCGTGTACCTTGCAAAGTGATGTTGAAGAATCCTTGCCAGGACCCTTTCTGGCACACTGAGGAAGGAGATGCCCCTGTAGTTGTTACAGTCTGTGCAACCTTCCAATCTTGTGGAACACATCCAGTAGTCTAAACTGTTGTAATGATGCAATATAGGGCAGTCTGCACACAAACACCACCCCCACTCAGGAGTTATCTTGGGAAATCATCGCTGCACGGCGCTTTTCCTGGTCTCAGTTACTGGGTCGCCTTCCGAACTTCCTCAACAGATGGCACCTCAACCAGCCACTCACAGGGAGTGACTACTTCTTCCAATATTTGAGGCACCGCAGCCCCAGTAGGGCCTCATCATGTTATCTGGGCTGAGAGATTTCCCTTCTCTCAAGACCGCACAGAAATGCTCAACAAACCTGCAAACCTGTTCCTGGGGGTCGGAGATCGGATCACCATTCTTTCCCGTGATGGTGATCAGTGTGGCGCTGCAAGTTACTTTTTTTATGGAATTAAAGTGTGATTTTTTTTATTAGTAAGGCAGATTCCATCTCCCCAGAAACTCATGAGCACCACTTATCCGTGCAGCCCCGCACGGCTCTCCGAACCTCTGAAGGATGCGGTAAGTTTCTTCATTATCCAACATGGGATTATGTAGACAGAGGAAGTGGGCCTGTCACTTTTTTTCAGCTAACCGGACCACCTGCTCTGTCAGCCAGGATATCTGGGGAGGTCTGGACTGCTTACCCAAAGCAGCAATTACAGCTGCACGAGGCACAGTCCTAAACCTCGCCCATTTCCCCTTGGCATGAAGAGGAGGGACGATGCCAACCCCAGCTGCATGCAATGATGAAAATCTCGCTTGCAACTTTCATAAGCTATTTGAGGCAAGGCCACTGTGGGTTAGATGGACACCATCTAACCCACAGTGGTGATGATAACCCACAGCCGATGATCAGTGAGCAAATCAGCTCCACAGTAGGTCGTGGTGTTCAAAAATATAGGCCCGCATCCAGCTGTTCCGTCACTATGTAGTCCAGCTGATGTTCTTGCTTGGACCCAGTGTGCATTTATGATGTTGTGTCGATGCGCTGATGCCGGAACATCGTGTTGGTAATGATAATCCCATGGGCTACAAATAAATCTAACATCCTCCTACCGTTGTTATTGAGCTGATCTGGCACATACCTTCCAATCACGCCAGCCAAGGTACCTGCATAATGATCCACTTGGGAATTAAAGTCACCCAACATGATGACTCTATCATGAGGGGCCACTTTACTTAGCACCTGGGACAAGAGGTCATAGAAGGCAACTGACTCATCGGCCTTGCCTGCATCTCCTCACTGATGTTTATCTTTGTGGAGTCATAAGCCGCCACCGCCACCATTCCTCACTTACAATTGATGGGGAGGTGAGCCCACAGTAGCCTGGGACTTACAGTGCCCTACACCTTACCGCCACTTTCCCATGCCACCTTCATTATTTTGTTCGTGAGAAGAGTCGCTGCATTTTTTGCCATCATCCTGCCATCGAACCGACTGAATGCCACAGAGATCCAGGCGGTACCGCTCCAGCTCCTGGTGGCCTCCCCTCCGCAACAAGCATACCAACATTTCACGTGGCCACTCGCAGTAGCTTTTTTACCATTGCTGGAGGAACCCCGAGGTTGCGGGTTCAGTCTCCTGCTCCGCTAAACGTGGCTTGGCCAGGAGGCGTCATAGAGATGCGCCTGTCCCCTCGGGGCCTCCGGCGCAAGCTTCATAGTTTCGTGGTAATTTAATTGAAGGTGGAGGGGGTCACCAGCCCCTCGCACCCATCCAGAACCCCCGTTGGCTGCTGTGGTGGCTACGAGATCGGAATTGGCATTCCCCCCCCCCCCCCCCCCCGCCATTGGCATTGCTTGCAGCCTACCAGAGCAGCGTTTTCAACCGACGCCATCGTAGATGCGGGGGCTGTTTTTGCCGGACTACCACCGCCACTACCACCACCCCCGACTACCACCACCACCACCACCACCCCCGATGACCATCACCACTACCTCAAAACGCACTGTAGCTCTCATGTGATATCAATGATCACACTCGCAATGGCATTGGACACGTATGTTATCTTTCTTGATTTGAAGCTTTCGTGACTGCAGGAATCCATACTCTTTGGTTCTTTCGGTAAAGTCACGTAGAGTATAAAGTAAAATAAATCACGACGTTTCGGGCGCAACACAAGCGTCTGTCATCAGGTCGGAAAGCGTGGCTCTGCTGCTGAGGCAGACTGTTTTATAAGGTTTGAAATGGGCGTAGCCCAAGGGTCACAAAGAAGTGGGCGGGGCTAGTGATGTTAATGTGAGAAATTAGCATGTAGCTGTAAGATAGGAGAAGAGCGGCCTCCTGGACGAGGGCACGGAAGTGGCTATGTTAATGTGAGAGATTAGCATGTAACTGTAGCAAAGAAGGAAAGAGTAGGCCGCTCTCCTCCTATCTTACAGCTACATGCTAATTTCACACATTAACATCACTAGCCCCGCCCACTTCTTCATGACCCTTGGGCTACGCCCATTTCAAACCTTATAAAACAGTCTGCCTCAGCAGCAGAGCCACGCTTTCCGACCTAATGACGGACGCTTGTGTTGCGCCCGAAACGTCGTGATTTATTTTATTTTATACCTACTACGTGACTTTACCGAAAGAACCAAAGAGTATGTATGTTATCTTCTTCACGTTACATGTTCACACAAATAGTGACGAGATCATCAGTAGCACCGCCTCATGAGCGAACTTAAATGGCAGGCAATGTTTCGGGTAATTGCTCTTCTTCAGCGTGCATTGTTTTTCTTGCTACGTGAGATTTCAACGAAGTGCATTGACGCCAGATGTCGGGATCAATGTCTTGACACCAGCTTTCTGGATCAGAGACCAGCGTGCTGACCATTACACCACCACCACCAGCAGCAGCAGCAGTAGGATCTTAAAATCATCACAAAAAAAAACAAAAGCCAAATAGAAACAAAAATTGTCTGCCCCCATCCAGTCGCAGCCTCGCTCAAATCTCATCCGATCCCTCGCCCCCGAACCCCGTGAATTCCATCAGTGGCCCTCCAGTCCACTCCAACCGCTCTTACGGCAGCGGCAGCTCAGCCCTGGTCCAGCAGAAACTATAAACGCGTGGATATCCACACATCCCGGGACGCGCGACGCGCATTAACCTGGCACGAGCACATTTCCAACATTTTTCTCGCCGAGCGAAAATAAATACACGCGGGTGGGGTGGGGCGGAGGTGGGGGGAGGGACGAGGTGGTGGTGGGGGGGGGGTATTGCCTTCCCGTCATTAGTTGGGCGCCGCTCATGCTGCTGCTTATAACGATGATGGTGATGACATCACAATGATGATGGTCATGACATCATAATGATGATGAAGGCATGAAGGCATCATCATTATTGTATCCGGCAAAGGATTGACCATGGCTGACGACGATAATAACGATGTTCAGGACATCATGATGGTGATGGTTATAACATCATAATAATATGATGACATCATAATGGTGATGATTATGGCATCATAATGATGATGAAGGCATCATCATTATTGTATCCAGCACAGTATTGACCATGGCTGACGACGATAATAATGATGATCAGGACATCATGATGGGTGATGGTTATACCATCATAATGATGATGATGACATCACAATGGTGATGGTTATAACATCATAATGATGATGATGACATCACAATGGTGATGGTTATGACATCATGATGATGATGATGACATCATCATCGTTGTACCACATCGTTATGATTGCGCTTCCCTTTGGGCCTGGGCTGTATTTTTTTTTAAGCGAGCGCACAGTGAGAGAGAGAGAAACAAAGAGAGAAAAATATTAATAACAACTTCGATTTGACAAGAAAATTCCTCCACCCACGGAGGGCTTTTCCTCTAAGCCCTCTCACATTTTCTGTATCGCCTCGAGGATTTACCGCGGATTTGAAATTACGGCTATTAGCATACAAATGAAAGTTCAAATTACCCCCTGCCATCCGCGCTGTGTGAGCTTCTCATGCCATGCGAACCTTGTGTTTATACGTAATTGCACCGTCTATACTCTGCATCATCATCATCATCATCCACCATCATCACCCACACCTCCGATTAGCACGCTTGGCTACGTACGGCGCGAAAGAAGTTCAACATACGTACATCATCATCATCACTCGCAGCAGCCACAGCAGCCCACGGCCAATTCGCTGCTGGATGAAACGCTCCCCGATCCGTTGCGCCATTGCTCGCGGCTCCGCGGTGTGTGACAATCCGCGGTGTGCGTGCAACTACATCGATTCCATCGCTCCATCTCTCCGCAGCGTACGCGCTTGTTCCATTTCTTGGGCTGCCACTCCACATTCACCCTCGACTGCTGGCCATCGTTTCACTTTTCCTCTGGCCATCAATGCATCTTCTGCCCAAGCGACAGTTAATGCTCGTAGCGGGTTACAAGGGATGTCTCCAAGCGGATTGTATTATTTTGAATCCTAACAATTTTTAAGGCTATGAACGCCTTTTTTTTATTTCACCAGATGTAGGCACACTAAGAAGCGACCTGGCTATCACAAATGATGGCTCAACGAGGTGGCTCACCGTCATCACGTGGAAATAAATAGCAGCAGAAAAATCCACGCGACCACGGGGAGAGAGTGACACGCAAACTCCAGATATACAACAGGCGTCAGGGTCAGGATCGAACTCACGACCTCCTGTACACCAGGCGAGGTAGCTGACATCTTGCCAATGAACCATTAACATCGTAACTAACGCCCCTTTGTCAATCCACTGCTGAATCAATGCCTCCCCGTGCGGTGGACGTCCCCGAGTGGCGAGTGGCCCCCTTTGACTGCCACTCAGCTGTTAGTCTCGCCCAATCGGCCACTTCTCACAGCACTTCCAGTCGCGACAGACCGACATTAACATTTCTCAGCGGTCAAAGCGATGGTCAGAGAACGCTTGCGTGCGTGCGTGCGTTCTCTAACCCTCGTGCTGCCCTTTCTGGCTCTCGGGGCCTATTCCCCGCGTGCGTCTCTCCGCGCCGCGTTTCGCCCCCTTTTGATATTTCTCACGCGATGGCCACCATCGGTCGGCCGTGTTCTCCGATTCGTCGGATACGCAGCCCGCGCGCGTCCTTCACGCTCCAAGCTCGATCAGAATTCACCTCCTGGTTTCTCCGCTCCGAGCTGGGGGCGCCACGGTGGCTAGGAGATGTTAACTCCCTCGCCTGGTGTACAGGAGGTCGTGGGTTTGATCTCGACCCTGACGCCTGCTGCTGTATATTTGGAGTTTGCGTGTCTCTCTCTCTCTCATCATCACGGTGGCTAGGAGATGTTAACTACCTCGCCTGGTGTACAGGAGGTTTGATCCCGACCCTGACGCCTGCTGTATATTTAGAGTTTGCGTGTGTCTCTCTCTCTCTCTCATCATCACGGTGGCTATGAGATGTTAACTACCTCGCCTGGCATGTACAGGAGGTCGTGTGTTTGATCCCGACCCTGACGCCTGCTGCTGTATATTTGGAGTTGGCGTGTGTCTCTCTCTCTTTCATCATCACGGTGGCTATGAGATGTTAACTACCTCGCCTGGCATGCAGGAGGTCGTGTGTTTGATCTAGACCCTGACGCCTGCTGCTGTATATTTAGAGTTTGCGCGTCCCTCTCCCCGTGGCCTCGTGGATTTATCTGCGGGTCCTCCGATTGTTCCTTCCACATTCAGAATCACCGTGCGTTGCAGGGTATTTGGCTGCTAGAAATTCCCACGTGGTGATGATGATGATGATAAGCCACTTCGTTGAGCCATCATTTGTGGCCAGGTCGCTTCTGAAAAAAAGAGCTAAACGGTACAGTATAGCACATTGGGCTTTACCTGGTAAAATAAAATTTAAAACTTTATCGTTTTCGTATAATAGCTCTGCTGCCCTCTGCTGCTGCTGCTGTTGCTGCAAGGAATGTTCCTCGTCCACTCAAGCATTCCACCATTTCGCAATTCCACACGCCAGGGGCTAGCCGCGATACGGCGAACACGTGGTGGATGCGATGTCAAATTGGAATGACATTGAGGAGCGTTTGCTTATTGACGGAGCTGAGCCCTCCACAGTGAGTGGGCGCTGTTCGCAGCGGGGTTGACGTTTCGAGGAAGCCGCCTCCGGCAGAACTCCTGGGCAGGTATTGATGGGGTTTTTGTTTCGTACAACTGGTTCCTTCTCTGGGGCGAACCAGCGTACTGGTGTTACCGCACCCACACCAAGGTGGTAGTACAGGAGACCCTTGAATATCGCGGGCGTGACGTTCGTGGAAAGTTCCGCGAATGCCAAACCGCAGTATTCAATGCTTAAGCCTCCTTTACCTAAATAAAGTGATTTTAGGTTCCGTGCACGGGAACCAAAAATAGGCAACTTCACGATTGAATTAAGTACTGTGACCGTACGCCGGATAAACTAAAAATAGAATAGTTGAGATGAACGCGTAAAAACCCTCTACCGAAAACATTCCGAGACAATAAATAGTCGTGTAACTACTGAATAAATACTGTACTTGCCGATGATGATCCAAAGGTGGTGTGTGTGTGTGAGTGAGTGGGGAGCGGTAGTGCTACGGTTAGCATGCTGCACGACCAACCGATTCCCGCTCACGGCCACAACACCAGTGACGAGTATCTGAACCGGTCCTGGGCCTCCCCCAGGTCGACTCGACCTCAAATTAGTACCTGGTGCGATGTGCGAACATCGCCAGTGGGGAGACAAAGGTGGCCGGGCGTGGGTGCTGGCAACCCACCCCTAAGACTTCTTCTTCCACGCGTTCGTCCCACTCCGCTGTCCTTGCCAACCGTCTGCACGCTGCCCCTCCCGCGCCATCTCTCTTTCCGTTCCTCGTGTCACCACGGTCCGATCGCACTACATCGCCCCCCCCCACCAACCTCTTCTTCCGCCTTCTTCCTCTTCATCTCTGTCCTTCCACTTGTATCACTTGCCACCGTCTGACCCAGGTAATTTTCCACATGACCGAACCACTCCAGCCTTTTCTCTCTCTCTCTCTCTCTCGTCTTCTCTGTGATTTCTACCACCTTGAGTCTTACACTCGCCTCTTCATTTCTCACCCCCCCCTGTTCTTCCTTGTTAAACCCAACATCCACCGCAAGATCCTCATCTCTGTGACTGCCATAGCTTGGTCCTCCCTCATGCTTGTGCCCCAGCACTCGGTCCCATTAAACAGCACCGGCCTCGCCACCGTCTTGTACTATACACTACACTATACACTACACTATACACTCGGCTATCCACTACACTAGACACTACACTATACACTACACTAGACACTCGGCTATCCACTACACTAGACACTACACTATACACTACACTATACACTCGGCTATCCACTACACTAGACACTACACTATACACTACACTAGACACTCGGCTATCCACTACACTAGACACTACACTATACACTACACTAGACACTCGGCTATCTACTACACTAGACACTACACTATACACTACACTATACACTCGGCTATCCACTACACTAGACACTACACTATACACTACACTATACACTCGGCTATCTACTACACTAGACACTACACTATACACTACACTATACACTCGGCTATCCACTACACTAGACAATACACTATACACTACACTATACACTCGGCTATCCACTACACTATACACTACACTAGACACTCGGCTATCTACTACACTAGACACTACACTATACACTACACTATACACTCGGCTATCCACTACACTAGACACTACACTATACACTACACTATACACTCGGCTATCTACTACACTAGACACTACACTATACACTCGGCTATCTACTACACTAGACACTACACTATACACTACACTATACACTCGGCTATCTACTACACTAGACACTACACTATATACTACACTATACACTACAATAGACACGACTATGCACGACACACTTTTCCCTCCCACCAAACTGGGACCCTGTCATCGCACACCACCACCACCACGCCGGTCATCTCTCGCCATATCAGCCATTCAGCCCTTGTTCTTGTTCTTATCTCCCGTTCCAGTGATCCATCAGCACCGCGTCGTTGCACCCAGGTGCTTAAACTCGTTCGTCTCCATCAACTGGTCACTTCCAATTTGCAATCCTCCTTCTGCATTATTCCCACTGAAATATGCCACCATGAACTCCGTCTGTGTCCAACTGATGCTCAACCCATTACCCTTTAATGTTTTTTTGCACACAGATCTAGGTGCTACTCGCTAACAGCGCTTGCCTCAGCTGTTAAGGCTACACGGGGATTTTTTTTTGTCTTTGTTGTGTGCAGAAGTCCCCTTGCACGGCAACGGACACAAGGGAGAGAAAGGACAGCATGGAGAACCTGGCCCACGGGGGCCTCCAGGCCCAGCCGGAGTGCCGGGAAAACCGGGAATAGGCCTCCCCGGAGCTCGAGGTCCTCCAGGAATGCATGGCCCTCCGGGATACACCACCATGGCCAAGCCGGGCCTTCCGGGTCTTCCCGGAAAGCCAGGCCTGAAGGGTCTGCCCGGGCCCAATGGAGACGTAGGCCCTCAAGGGGAGCCCGGATTGCGGGGTGCGCCAGGAATCTCAGGAATGCCGGGAAAGCCAGGCATTGCCATGCGCGGGAAGCCGGGGCCGAATGGAATCCAGGGAGTGCCCGGTGGGATTGGCCCACAGGGTCCTAAGGGCAACCAAGGCGTTCCGGGAGTGCCGGGGTTCAAGGGCGAGAACGGGAATGGCAGGCCTGGCGTCACGGGCCCAAGAGGATTGCCCGGACCTTCGGGTCCTCCAGGAGGGGCCGGAAATCTGGGAGTTGGAAAACCAGGGCTTGATGGAATTCCAGGCCTCAAGGGACTGCCCGGACTTCCCGGCGATAAAGGACTTCCCGGGCCGCACGGCCCTCCCGGATTGCAAGGAAAGCCAGGTTTTCCGGGTCCGGCTGGTGTGGGAAAACCGGGACTGGATGGGAAGCCTGGCCATCAGGGCATTCCCGGACTAAAAGGCGACAAGGGCCAACCAGGCGCACCGGGTCTCCCGGGAATACCGATCAATGGCAAGCAAGGCATTCCCGGTGGGCGCGGAGACCGGGGGCCACCTGGGGGCCTCGGAATTCCAGGCCCCAAAGGCGAGAAGGGTTTCAACGGCGTTCCTGGCTTGAATGGCCCACCGGGAGAGAAAGGCCTCACAGGGCCACCGGGAGGCCGTGGGATTCCAGGGCAGGGCGGTATTCCGGGAGCGAAAGGAGACATCGGAATGCCGGGCCCTGTGGGTGCCAAGGGATATGGTGGGGGTGTCGGTCAACCGGGCCTTCCGGGTCCCATCGGCCTTCCCGGCGATGATGGGAAACCGGGCTTCCGCGGCCCCACTGGTCCATCAGGGCCCAAGGGGGAACAGGGAGACAAGGGCCTTCCCGGCTTCCAGGGACCGCCTGGCCCCGTGGGACCAATGGGAAAACCAGGACCATCGGGGCCGCCCGGCCCTCGTGGCATCACCGGCAATTCCGGGTTGCCGGGCGGAGTGGGGCCCATCGGTCCACCAGGCCTCCCTGGAGCCAAGGGCCACCCAGGCCCGGTGGGGAACCCCGGGGCGCCGGGCGTGGGTAAGACGGGTCCGGAGGGCCCCACTGGGCCAGCGGGAAAACCGGGCCAGCCGGGACTCATCGGCCGGCCCGGACCGCCGGGCCCCCCGGGAGTGCCGGGGAATGCTGCGCAGCTCATCGGCCCCAACGGCCTCGGCACGTCGGAGCTCCAGGGCTCGGCGAACGGCCACGGGGTGGACGAAGGCCCCCGCCCGGGCGCGTCGGGCAGGGTCGAGGGCTCGCTGGGCCGCTTCTCGGCCTTCTCGGCACGCCTCGCCGAGCCCTTCCCGCAGGCCGGCGTGCCAATCCGGTTCGACGGCGTCATCTACAACACGCAGCGGCACTACAACCCCACGACGGGCGTGTTCACGTGCGCACTGCCCGGCGTCTACTACTTCGCCTACCACGTGCACGTGAAGGGCAGCAACGCGTGGGTGGCGCTTTACCGCAACGGCGAGGCGGTAATCTACACCTTCGACGAGTACAAGAAGGGCTTCCTCGACCAGGCGTCGGGCAGCACCGTGCTCGAGCTGGGCGCCGGCGACCGCGTCTGGGTCCAGATCCCGTCGGGCCAGGCTGACGGCGTGTTCGCCGAGAAGCTCGTCCACTGCACCTTCTCCGGGTTTTTGCTGCAGCCCATGTAAGGGGTAGAGGCGGGGGTCGGGAGGTAGGGGGTAGGGGTGGAAGGTGGGTGGGTGGGTGGGGGCGTTTAACCCGAGCCTTCGTACAAGAAGAGAGGAGGGGGCTCCCCTCCACCCACCTCCACAATGCCCCCCCCCTCCTCCATCCCACCTCCACAATGGGGTCCAGTGGATAGGTGGAATTTGGGAGGGGGGGGGAGGCTCTTCCTACCCTGCCGCTCTCCCACCACCACGGTGTTCTGCCTCGGGCCCTGCAGGAACCTCCGGGCGGCCCGGTGTGGCGATACGTGGAGCAGAACTTGGTCTGGAGGTTGTTAAGTGAAGTGGGGTTTCTCGTCTCGTGTTGTGTTTATCTCGCGTTTATTTTTGTAACCGAGTCAGAGCAAATGCGTCTGTTGTTGTTGTTATCTGTGTGTTTTGTGTGGTTGTGTGTTTGTGTAGGGACAGCAGCAGCAGTTGTCAGTGTAACAAAGCCCTGATGAGAAGAAAAAAACCAAGAATAGACTTTTACCCTTTTCTAACAATAAAGCAAGAGCTATGTTAAGATGTTCACACACCAAATAGATGATTATCACAGCGCATCAAGTCTACATTAACCACACGTACTTGTTGCAATAAATGCAAACAAAGATGCTCCGATAATGTATGCATCGTCTTTGAAATTGATTGGCCTCCAGCAGTGTCAGACCAGAGAACGCCAAAAGGCGAACCCTACAAAGGAAATGCAAATTTAAAAGCGTGAATCGCTTGGGTTGAGCCGCTATATCTATGGGTCCTTTTTTTGCCAGTATCAAAATAGTGAAAAAAAATCAGAATTGGCTTCGCCCATTCTGGCAATAAGACAGCAGGTGTTAAGATGTTCAAACACCAAATAGACACACCGATCGCAAGGCATCATCACGTCGGCATTCACCACGCACAGAACTCGTGGCAAAACATGCAAACAGACATGGCAAAAAGGTTCCATAGTAAAGCCCTGTTTGACCGATGCAACACAGCAGTGTCATGGCTTCACTGTAGTTGGGGATGATCAGTGTGCAGCAACTAACCCCCTCATCCCAGAGTCTCTTCTGCCCATTGAAAGCTCTCTTACTGTGAGGATTGCGTTACACGGTCTAGATTTTATCAACGCACACACACACACTGCTGATGTTTCTGTAAGATCATCATCATCAGCGTCGTTATCATCAGCATCGTCAGTGTTATAAGTCAACCGAAACAGGGTTACGTTGCCTTGCCAACGTTTATTTTCGTATCTTATTTTAATGATGTTTGAGGTTTATTGGCAAGCAGCGAGGGTTGGTAGATCACCGCACACGCAGATAATTTTGTGAAACTCCCATCCCATGGGCGTCGAGCAGTTGCCATATCCCTGGCTCCCCAGGAGAAGGCAGTACAGCAAAGGTGGACGAATCGCCATCCGTTTATTCCATCTGTACAGGGATAGAGAGTTGCCCCCCATCGTGCAAGGCATGAGTATTTTTTTTCTGGGTGCTCCTTTTTGCTCCCACATTGAGCCCATGACACCTTCATACATCGAGGACTACAGAGCTTGGGCAATGGTTGGTAGTGCCGGCTCCTCACCAGCACGTGGCTGCTGATGCCTTCCCAATCCTCGTCTGTGGTTTCTTCTCCCACGTGAATAAAACTAATCATGTTTAGCACCGACTCACCATTAATTGGCTGCAAAACTCTTACAGATTAAAAAACACATTGTGGCATCAGCAGCAAGACCCTCCTGAATATAGAATCCTACTTCTCAGCGCGAATCTACGGGATAAATAAGTAAAATATTTAATCATCATAATCCAGAAAACACAATGTAGCCGTATTTGTTTTGCAATTATCGTGGTGCGCATTGTGTGACACTTAGAATCGCGGCGTCTGTGAAGTGTGTGCCTCAGATGTCATCATCATCACCATCACGATCCATTGGCAGATAGCCCGTCGTAGGTTGTCCACTGCACATTTCGTCATGTCTTTCCACTTTCATCCGTCTTGTATCAATACCTTTTGATCGTTGTCAAGCCACAGATGGTCGTGTAACTAAAGAAATAATTATAACGGTCAACAATGTACCACCAAGAGGCGGTCCAATGGCTCTGTTATCTCATTATTTTCTCCAGAATCTCCCACATTGCCAGGCCACACAGCATTGCGGAACTCACAATGCACAATCAATGCCCTCATCCACACTGGCGCATTGTTACCATGCCAATAATGCACGGCCCTTTGTCAATTGACACGTCAAATATGTATAACAAAAAATTGCCACAGCCGCTATTCTCGGCCATTCTTTTGCCGCATGTCGATCATCACATTGAACGGGTGCTGGGTGGATTGGTAGAAGAGGTGCTGGGTGGATTGGTAGAAGAGGTGCTGGGTGGATTGGTAGAACAGGTGCTGCTCTGTGGATTGGTAGAACAGGTGCTGGGTGGATTGGTAGAACAGGTGCTGCTGGGTGGATTGATATTACAGGTGCTGGGTAGATTGGTGGAATAGGTGCTGCGCTGTGGATTGGTAGAACAGGTGCTGCGTGGATTGGTAGAACAGGTGCTGGGTGGATTGGTAGAACAGGTGCTGGGTGGATTGGTAGAACAGGTGCTGCTGGGTGGATTGGTAGAACAGGTGCTGGGTAGATTGGTAGAACAGGTGCTGGGTGGATTGGTAGAACAGGTGCTGGGTAGATTGGTAGAACAGGTGCTGCTGGGTGGATTGGTAGAACAGGTGCTGGGTGGATTGGTAGAACAGGTGCTGGGTGGATTGGTAGAACAGGTGCTGCTGGGTGGATTGGTAGAACAGGTGCTGCTGGGTGGATTGGTAGAACAGGTGCTGGGTGGATTGGTAGAACAGGTGCTGGGTGGATTGGTAGAACAGGTGCTGGGTAGATTGGTAGAACAGGTGCTGGGTGGATTGGTAGAACAGGTGCTGCTGGGTGGATTGGTAGAACAGGTGCTGGGTAGATTGGTAGAACAGGTGCTGGGTAGATTGGTAGAACAGGTGCTGGGTAGATTGGTAGAACAGGTGCTGGGTGGATTGGTAGAACAGGTGCTGGGTAGATTGGTAGAACAGGTGCTGGGTGGATTGGTAGAACAGGTGCTGGGTGGATTGGTAGAACAGGTGCTGGGTAGATTGGTAGAACAGGTGCTGGGTGGATTGGTAGAACAGGTGCTGGGTAGATTGGTAGAACAGGTGCTGGGTGGATTGGTAGAACAGGTGCTGGGTAGATTGGTAGAACAGGTGCTGGGTAGATTGGTAGAACAGGTGCTGGGTAGGATTGGTAGAACAGGTGCTGCTGGGTGGATTGGTAGAACAGGTGCTGGGTAGATTGGTAGAACAGGTGCTGGGTAGATTGGTAGAACAGGTGCTGGGTAGATTGGTAGAACAGGTGCTGGGTAGATTGGTAGAACAGGTGCTGCTGGGTGGATTGGTAGAACAGGTGCTGCTGGGTGGATCGTTACATTGCAGGATCATAAACAGCCGACGTTTGAAAGTAGAGCAAATATTTGTTTAAAAAAATATAACAGCAACAAATGTCATGCCGTACCTTTGGTGCATAGAATGTATAGTACAACATCGGCAGCTTGAGATGCATGGGTCCGATTTGAATTTACCTTAGCGGTGTAGTAGTGTTGTAATAAATATAAGTTACATGAGATTGTTGTTTGTTTGCGGTGGCATTTTAAGACTGCGGATATGTTTGTCTGTAATCTTCTTTAATTCTTTCGGTAAAGTCACGTAGAATGAGAATAAATTAATAAATTGATAAAATTGATAACATTTTATCAATTGATAAAATTTTATCAATTTTATCAATTGATAAAATTTTATCAATTTATTATAAAATTGATAAAATTTTATCAATTGATAAAATTTTATCAATTTATTATAAAATTTTATCAATTTATTATTTTATTCTCATTCTACGTGACTTTACCGAAAGAACCAAAGAAGATGAATCATTGCAGTCACGAAAGCTTTAAATGGAAATTTGTCTGTAATGTTTAATTGATTTTTGTTTTTCATATTAAAGTGACCATCGAAGCTATATATTATCCACAGAGGTGAGAGTGTCTCTCAAAATACATGGTGTCAAAAGTGCTGTACAGGTGGTGGTCGTGGTGATAATAATAATTATGCCAATGATGATGAGGACGATACCTGCACTGGACAAAACTATATTACACGCGCATCATTTAAATAAAACAATTGGCTACGCTGAGAATCATTGTTTTTTCTTGTTCACTGATGGATTGATGAAGGCCTCCCTATGCAGTGTCAGATTGTTGACCGTACTTCACCACGATGGTCGGTGACTGTTGGTGAAGTCGCTGGCACGAGAGACAGCAGTGAGAGTGTGCCCAGGACCGGTTCGGATATCGGATATCAGAACCATTATTTAAACCGGAGGAATCTGATGAGTTACGAAGCTCTTTTTCATTCATGTCCAGTATGGGCTAACATCACTAAACCACTGACGGTAGCCATGAGCAGGAATCGAACACCAGGTCGCTCGGGATCATAGGATCATGTGCTAATCATTTGCTCAATCACTCTCCTCGACGACGATGGTGATGATGATGGGAAATGATGGTGATAGTGGTGATGATGATGGTCATTGAAGTGCGTGGGGTGGTTGGAGGTGTTGCCTAGGCCTGGTTTGGATAGCACTCGCCGCCACTGATGTACGCCGTGGGCTGGGAATCCAACTCGGTTCGCTGGGCTTATTGTATGTATGTTGAACTTCTTTCGCTCCGTCCATGGACAACCGTGTAAATTGGAGATGCGGGAGAAGGACAACAAACTAAACACAAAAAAGCATATCTATAGAAATGAGTTTTCAATCAATATTTAAAAGTGCATAGCTCCAGTGGCTTCTTAATATTGGAATAGAAGAACATTCCAGACGGCCGCGGAAGCGCGTCGGAACGCGTGTGCGCGATGCGGTGACCGCATCCATGGCCAGCCAAAAGCCGCTGCTTTTGCTGCTGCAGCGCAGGGCGCTAACCATTGCGCCACCACTCTCTCGGTGACCAACAGAGAGACAAGTACGCTAATGTGTGCTGCTCGCATTCTGCTTTGATTATTATTACATTCGTGGGCATTACAGGATGGCAGAAACCCTTCTTACATGTAACCCTATTACCCGCATATCCTATTATCCGCAAGAGCTGCAGAGTCCGTAATAAACGATTCCCAATATTCCTCGCCCCTGTTGCTCCGATTATAATCGAATAATTATTCGCCATCAGGTGAAACGCTCACGCAGCAGCAAACCAGACCGAGAATCGTGGCAATAACGCCTTTATTTAACCATGCAGTGCACATGTGGATGTTGGTGGATCGCAAAAGGATGCGAGCCAACCAGGTCTTCAGTTCAGGCAAGCGCCTTTGCGACGACGATGATGATGATAACGATGTGTGAGACAAGGCCGTAATTATTATAATATATAGGGGGGGACGCATCCCCCCCAATATTCAAATATGCTCAAAATATCCCCCCCCCCCAATATATTGCCATAAAATAGATGTATGTTTATATGATTGTGGTTATGGTTGTACTTTATTAATCCCTAATCTCTGCCATTACATACAATGAAAACAAGAAAAGGTTAAATAGAAGAAAAAAAAAACAGAGCAATGTAATACAATACACTATTAGACATTATTGTTAAAAATAAATTCAAAGTCCATCTTATGTGTTCGTGAATTTTTTTCATATTTTAGGCAGGAAACGGCAGGAAATTCATTTTAAAATTTAGATTTTTTATTTTCTGGGGGGGGGGCGGGGGGGGGAGAGGGGGACTCCTAGACCCCCTCGAAGATTTGGTCCCCCCCCTCAATGTTGACTCCATGGATACGACCTTGGTGTGAGATATCCAGATTTGCTTTATTTTAATGTTATCACGACTGTGCTGAGCGAAGGCCTCAATCAAACACCACCACTGAAGGTGCGATCGATAACAGAAAAGTTAATGCTCACGACTAGGTGCGATAGATGGCGAACAGTTCACACACTCGCGATGAGTTTTGGGATTTAAAACTTTTTAGAACTTTCACAATTAGTCGTGGTGACATTCTGCATCTTTTTTTTCCTCTTTCTCTCTGCTCAATAATAACGCAACGACGACGTGACGCGCCGTGACGCGCGCCGTCGTGCTGACAGTGACGTCACCCAATGCCACGTGCGGTGGGGAAAGGCAACGACGGGAGTCGACGTCATTTCCCGTGACGTCACACGTTGAGATCAGGGGCCGTCCATGAATGACGTCACGCACCGGGGGGGGGTGGGGTCAGACATTTGTGACGATGTGTGAGGAGGGGGGGGGGTTTGAGAAATGTGACGTCACGTCAAAATGCACAACTTTTAATACATATAGACAACACGTTCTACTTAATTAAATAGACTTTTTAATAAATGTTGTCTCCTACAACAGCTGAGTGCAGCAATACGCACGACAATGACAAATTAAAAGTAACACAAACAGTCATCATCAGGTGACTGATGATGACTGTTTGTGTTACAGTCGAAACGTCGTGAGAATTTTATTGTTTTATATATATTTTATTATTTTGTTGTTTCCCTTCAACGTGACTTTACCGAAAGAGCTAAGAATATATTATCGAGATCGTTTGAGGCTGTTGCGTGATTGGTTGGCGACAAGACCGCCTGTACCCAGTGGACCGGGCATAGGTCAGCGGTGATACCGTGACCTTTGCAATGATTACGATCCGTCTGCCTAGCAGGGCTGCCTGCTTTTTATACAATTACTCGCTTTACTACCCGGCTTCGCCAGGGACTTGGATTCTTAGTCTTGGATTAATACACGGCCTACACGGAGGGTTGGGGGGGGGGATGCGTGACGTCAGCAGGCACACTGCGTGACGCTGACGCATGCGGGTGACATCACAGATGTGACGTCACCGCTCACTTGCCGTGCAAAATATATCTATTATTGCACTACCCCCCCCACCCCAAATACGTCATTTGGATATTTATAGCAGCCTAATACTCTGAACGCGTGATGCTGGGGAGAGAGAGACACGCGAACTCCAAATATACAGCAGCAGGCGTCAGGGTCGGGATCGAACCCACGCCCTCCTGTATACCAGGCGAGGTAGTTAACATCTCCTAGCCACCGTGATGATGAGAGAGAGAGACACGTGAACTCCAAATATACAGCAGGCGTCAGAGTCGGGATCGAACCCACGTCCTCCTGTATACCAGGCGAGGGAGTTAACATCTCCCAGCCACCTTGATGATGATGATGAGAGAGAAATACACGCAAACTCAAAATATACAGCAGCAGACGTTAGAGTCGGGATGGAACCCACGACCTTCTGTATACCAGGCGAGGTAGTTAACATCTCCTAGCCACCGCGATGATGATAGAGAGAGAGAAAGACACGCAAACTCCAAATATTCAGCAGACGTTAGAGTCGGGATCGAACTCACGACCTCCTGCAGACCAGGCGAGGTAGTGAACATCTCCTAGCCACCGTGATGATGAGAGAGAGAGAGACACGCAAACTCCAAATATACAGCAGGCGTCAGAGTCGGGATCGAACCCACGACCTCCTGTATACCAGGCGAGGTAGTTAACATCTCCTGGCCACCGTGATCTAGTGGGGAGCGGTGGTATAATGGTAAGCTCACCGCGTAAGCTCACTGCGCTACGAACCCCGGCGACTCAAGTTACACCCCACGCTCGCGGTCAACACCAGTGACGAATTATTTGAACCGGTTATGGGTCTCGGCTAGGTTGACTCAGCCTCAAATGGAGAACGTGGTGTGGTATGTAAACATCGCCACTCGGGAGAAAAAAGGCGGTCGGACATGGTGTCGGTCACCCACTCCCCTTGTTCGCCGTGTAGGCCTTCGTAGGTGGCACTCGCTAACAGCACTTATCACACCAGGCTGCTCGGTCCATATGGGAGGGATCTTTGTCTTTTGGCCTAGTTGATTCCCGCTCTTCAATTCGCTCTTGACAGCTGTAGCGGTTGTTGCAATGATAAATAAACAGCTATCATTCGGTTCAACCTCACGGCACAAGCTGAACACAGAACGAGCGTTCAATGGCACGTGGCACACGTAGCGAGGTTGGCACTTTGAAAGGTCGACGTTGATCGAGACGCGACCGACATTGAAATAAAAACAACGGATAAATGTTTGCCGTCTTTAAAGTGGCGTCGTGTCGATGCAGTCTTCCTTTCGTTATTGTTCATGAATGCGGTTGTTACGCTCGTTCACTCTATTATTGAAAGGAGAGACCTGCCAATGGTATTTTTTTCCCCCACAGGAAGGAGGGTGATGCTGCGTGTCGTCCCAATTGAGCAGATTTGCAGTTAATAATTTGCTCAGCATTGGGATGTTTTAAGTGAATAGCGGTTACATCCGATAGTGGGGTTTTTTCGTTTGCTATCGGATGAAATCGCAGAAATCTGGAGGAAATCCCATGCAGAGCAGGGGGAGTTCATGCAAACTCCACACACTCACGCTGCAGACCAAGGGGGCAGTGATAGTCACATTTGCAAGACTGAGTGAATGTATGAGTGAGTGAATGAATGGGTGGCTTCGTGAGCGATTGAGTGGACGAGTGGGCGAGTGAAACGGTAGGTGAGGAGGTGGTGGGTTAAGTGTA